AGTGTTGGGGACTTTCACAAGGAGTGGACTGAGGCTGGAGTCAGTGCATCAAGAGCAACCACACACAGACAGATCCTGGATATGGGCTTCAAATGTCGTATTCCTCTTGTCAAGCCACTCCTGAACAACAAACAACATCAGAATCATCGTACCTGGGCTAAAGAAAAACAGACCTGGTCTGTTGCTCAGTGGTCCAAAGTCCTCTTTTCTGATGAGAGCAACTTTTGAATTTCATTTGGAAACCAAGGACCCAGAGTATGGAGGAAGAATGGAGAGGCACACGCTGCAAGATGCTTGAAGTCCAGTGTGAAGTTTCCACAGTCTGTGTTGATTTGGGGAGCCATGTCATCTGCTGGTTTTGGTCCACTGTGCTTCATTAAGTCCAGGGTCAACGCAGCCGTCTACCAGGAGATTTTGGAGCACTTCATGCTTCCTTCCGCAGACGAGCTTTATGGAGATGCTGACTTCATTTTCCAGCAGGACTTGGCACCTGCCCACACTGCCAAAAGCACCAAAACCTGGTTCAATGACCGTGGGATTACTGTGCTTGATTGGCCAGCAAACTCGCCTGACCTGAACCCCATAGAGAATCTATGGGGCATTGCCAAGAGAAAGATGAGAGACATGAGACCGAACAATGCAGAAGAGCTGAAGGCCGCTATTGAAGCATCCTGGTCTTCCATAACACCTCAGCAGTGCCACAGTCTGATAGCTTCCATGCCACGCCGCATTGAGGCAGTAATTGCTGCAAACCAAGTACTGAGTACATATGCATGCTTCTACTTTTCAGAGGTCCGATATTGTTCTATGTACAATCCTTGTTTGATTGATTGCATGTAATATTCTAAATTTCTGAGATTGTGGATTTGGAGTTTTCATGAGCTGTAAGCCATAATCATCACAATTATGACAAATCACGGCTTGAACGATCTTGCTTTGCATGTAATGAGTCTATCTCACATATTAGTTTCACCTTTTAAGTTGCATTACTAAAATAAATGAACTTTTGCACAATATTCTAATTTTTTGAGTTTCACCTGTAGGTTGTTGCCTGCAAATAATAAAAGGAGGAGTGGAGAAGTGGAGACAAGACCAGTCAACCTGCACAAGAAGAAAGATCAGCAGTGACCGGACTTTATTACAGGAAGCTCCTACACAGAGGCAATGTTTTACGCTGGATTACTGCACAGATCTGGAAGAAATTCACAAAGCACACCAAGATTCAAGAATGAATAGATAGCATTCTTGTATTTAGACAGGAGTTGCTTATCCCAGAGTTCAGCTTTAAATCTACTTGCACCATATGTTTAGTGGCCATTGAAAGGAAACCTCCACTTATCCATTCCAAATACAATAAAAATGTGAGTGGGGTTTGACATAACTAAAATCCACATTGACGCACCATACTCTGCCTGTCTCCCAAAGCTGCTGTAATCTGAAATGTTTGCCAACTGCAGTTTGCTCTCTTGCACCCACTACTCTATATCCACAGCAACCAGTAAAAATGAGAAAAATGTACAGAGCCTTAGGACAGAATAGCATAAGAAAATATACAAATAAAAAACACCAACAAAAAGGGAAAGACAGACACGTTTCAAGAAGCCAATGTGAAAACCATAGAAGTGGATACATTTATTGCTGACTCCATGAGGAATTGGCTCTAGTTTCAGTTCTGGATATAAAGACACAGCACAGCGAAGCAGCCAGTTTTAAGGCAAACTTTGCATGCAAATGAAAAAGCAACACAAGGCGTAACATTAAGCACTCAGCTTGGCTTGGCCCGGCTCCAGCTACATCAGGCTCTGGCCAGCATGCTGAGACAATACTTTGTAATTTGGGTGACATTGAAAAACTTTCCACGTTTCTGAAGAGATGGCAATAAAACAGATCCTTTAGGAACTCGGAGATCAGGAATGCTTTGGTAATAAAATGTCATTTACGTCCATAGCACCACTTTCCATGCTAAAAGTCACCCTGCTACAAATAAATTTCATTTTTAATTTGCTATTTTTTCACCTAGAAGCAGATAAGTAGATATATACACTGATCAAAAAATTTAAACTTTAAAATCAGAATATAGCATCAAGTCAATTAAACTCCTGGGATATTGATCTGGTCAGTTAAGTAGCAGAGGGGGTTGTTAATCAGTTTCAGCTGCTTTGGTGTTAATTAAATTAACATCAGGTGCACTAGATGGGCAACAATGAGATGACCCCCAAAACAGGAATGATTTTACAGGTGGTGGCCACTGATATTTTTTTCCCTACTCATCTTTTGTGACTGTTTTTCACTAGTTTTGCATTTGGCTAGGGTCAGTGTCACTACTAGTAGCATAAGGCAGTACCTGGACCCTACAGAGGTTGCACAGGCAGTCCAACCTGGCCAACACTCATGGGAGCTGGGAATCATTGAACTACACACTGCTACTCCAGTGATCTCCACTTGCTTTTGGGTCCAATGCTGAGCGACTGGCCAGCTGCATTCTGAACACTGGAGGTTAACTGGGGGCGCCATTTATAAAATGCTTTGCATTTTATGAATGACTGCCAAGCATTCTCTGATTGGTTGAGATGGAGAGGTGAGGTTGTGTTTTGCAGTTTTACAGGCTCCTCTACTGTACTGAAATTGTTTATTGTGATTTCACTGCACACTGTGAGTTTCTCATAATGTGCATTAGAATTAGCACCAAGTCAGTTAGAGCCCACCTTATTTCCTGGCTGGAGGATATCCAGTACCAAAACCCTGCTGGCCCTTCACACCAGCCATGATTGTTACTGGGTCTAAAATTATTAAATGAAAACAGAAAGGTTTTATTTAAGAATTTTGTTCAAAAGTTGATGGTGGGGAAAAAGAGGAAATAAGGTGCCAACAATATGTAAAATACAGTGCAAGCAGATTAAACTTCAGCTTGGATTTATTCCAGTATGGTATGCAATGGGAATATAGTTTGTATGAGTCGAGAGAGAGAGAGAGAGAGAGAGAGAGAGAGAGAGAGAGAGAGAGAGAGAGAGAGAGAGAGAGAGAGGAGAGAGAGAGAGAGATCCATATATATTAAGACACAGGCACAATTTTAGTTTTTTTTTCAGGTATTTACCAAAACATATTCAAGCTACAGTTATATAATGGATATAGGCTGAACGTGCGCACTCTCAGATTTAATTTGAGGGTATGTGCATTCAAATTGGAGGAAGGGTTTAGGAATTACAGCTCTTAAGAGTAGCCACCCCCCCCTTTTTTAAGGGACCAAAAGTAATTGGACAGTTGAATATAATCATAAATAAAATGTTCATTTGTAATATTTTGTTGAGAATCCTTTACTGGCAATGACTGCCTGAGGTCTGGAACCCATGGACATTACCGAAGACTGGGTTTCCTCCTTTCTGATGCTTTGCCAGGCTCTAACTGCAGCTGTCTTCAGTTGTTCTTGGTTTGTGGGTCTTTCTGCCTTTAGTTTTGCCTTCAGCAAGTGAAATGCATGCTCAATTGGGTTGAGATCAGGTGATTGACTCGGCCACTGCAGAATATTCCACTTCTTTTCCTTCAAAAGCTCTTGGGTTGTTTTTTGCAGTGTGTTTTGGATCCTTGTCCATCTGTACTGTGAAGCGCCATCCAATCAACTTTGCTGCATTTGGCTGAATCTAGGCTCACAGTATATCACTAAACACTGCAGAATTCATCCGGCTGCGTCTGTCTTCTGTCACATCATCAATAAACACCAATGACCCAGTGCCACTGGAAGCCATGCATGCCCATGCCATCACATTGCCTCCACCATGTTTTACAGAAGACGTTGTGTGCTTTGGATCATGAGCTGTTCCAAGCCTTCTCCACACTTTTTTCTTCCCGTCATTGTACTACAAATTAAACTTAGTTTCATCCATCCAAAGAATGCTTTTCCAGAACTGGTCTGGCTTCTTAGATGTTTTTTGGCAAAGTCTAATCTGGCTTTTCTATTCTTTAGGATTATGAATGGTTTGCACTTTGTGTTGAACCCTCTGCATTTACTCTCGGGAAGTCTTCTCTTGATTTTAGACTTTGATACGCCCACCTCCTGGAGAGTGTCCTTCACTTTTCTGGATGTTGTGAATGGGTTTTTCTTTACCATAGACAGGTTCCTGCGATCATCCACCACTGTTGTCTTCTGTGGACGTCCATGCCTTTTTATATTGTTGAGCTCACCAGTGCATTCTTCTTTCCTCAGAATGTACCAAACTGTTGATTTGGCCACCCTTAATGTTGCTGCTATCTCTCTGATGGATTTGTTTCATTTTTGAAGCCTTACAATGGCTTGTTTCACTTGCATGGACAGCTCCTTTGAACATATGATGTAGGTTTGCAGCAATAGATTCTAAATGCATATACTACACTTAGAATCAACTTCAGACCTTTTACCTGCTTAATTGATGAAGACATAACAAAGGAGTAGCCCACACCTGGCCATGAAACAGCTTTTGATTCAATTGTCCAATTACTTTTGGTCCCTTAAAAAAAGGGAGGATGGCTACTCTTAAGAGCTGTAATTTCTAAACCCTTCCTCCAATTTGGATGTACATGCCCTCAAATTAAACCTGAGAATGTGCACTTTCAGCCCATATCTTATATAACTATAGCTTGAATATGTTTTGGTAAATACCTGAAAATAAACTAAAATTGGGCCTGTGTCTACATATAAAAGTATATGGACCTAACTGTATATATACCCACTGCTCAAAAAAATTAAAGGAACAGTTTGAAAACACATCAGATCTTAATAGGGAAAAATATCATGCTGGATATCTATCTATACTGATATGGGCTGGGTAATGTTGCTATGTATAAAATATCCATACCTGGAATTCTTCTTTAACTTTCTGTCTGTCACCCTGTTGGGAAGACAGGGTATCACTGGTAGTAAGGGGAAATATCCTTGGTAGGATCACAGACAGCAATTAAGACCAGATGGAGAATTTATGCCTTCTCCACTAACTAAAAAGAAGAGAGTTCTGGATAGAGCTGAGCTTTAATAAATGTCTCACCTCTGCAGCCAGGTAATTTCCAGTAGCCAAGTGTTTAAATCTGAAAAGGCTGTTCCACTGCCCGGCTCCTCCTCGGCACGGATCGTGATGCACGACCTGCAAGATCAGAACAGAGAAGCAATGATTATTATTTTTATTTTTAATGATGTCACTGGATCAGTGTAAAACAAGGAAAGCAACAGGTAACCCATTGTAGATTAGCTATAGTTATTTGTAAAACTAATTTTCTGCAGTTTCCAGCTGCAATGCAAGAAAATACAAAAACTTTTGTTTGTTGAGGGTCACTCTGCCTGCAAACTTTTACTTTGCTCAAATCTCTTTATCTCCCCTGCTATGTTACCACATGGACTGAACTCCGTATCCATGTCAGTGCTCTAAGCATGCCAATAAATTTTAAAAAAAAAGAGAATTACCTCAATTTCCCATAAGGCCTTGGAGCTGGTCGCTGATGTGGCAGACTGGCGTAAGGTGGTACGGAGAAAGATATGTTGCTTTTTCTCATATTCATCACAGGTCAGAAATTTCTCTTGTTCTGCATGAAAGAGTCTGACCACGTCACCCTGTGGAAATAACAGATTGCATTAGTTACATTACAAAGGATTCTTTAACCCTCTTTATGTCTAGGCTGCAATTTTAATTTGGACTAAAACACCTTTCCTCTTTCTCATATACATAACCTAGGGGGAGGTGTACTGTAGTTCATGGAGAAAAACTGGGAAGGCTGATAACACTGAGATTTCAGTTGAGTGCACATGAAGTTACAAGCACACTCTAAATCACATATGCACAGTACCAACAGTTCGATTTTTAACGGCCAAGAAACACATTAACTTTTCAATTTTGCCAATTTATCAGGGCCAAGTAGAAAAAATATCCCTTAGATTGGTGGTCAGTGAGAAGAATGTCCCCCTTACAGTGGTGGTCAGAATGCAGGCCTTACAGTCAAGCCACAAAGAAGCCTTTACTGCGCCACTTCTGTAAAAAAAAAAAAAAAAACAGGTTGCAATATGCCCATCAACACCTTGACATGCCTCACAGCTTCTGGCACACTGTAATCTGGAGTGACGAGACCAAAATAGAACTTTAGGGTCACAGCCTATAGCCGACAAGAATACCATCTCAACTGTGAAGCATGGAGGTGACTCACTGATGTTTTGGGGGTGTGTGAGCTCTAAAGGCACAGGGAAACTTGTGAAAATTGATGGCAAGATAAATGCTGCATGTTATCAGAAAATACTGGCAGACAATTTGCATTCTTCTGTTTGAAAGCTGAACATGGGCTGTTTCTGGACTTTCAAGCACGACAATAACCCTAAGCACAAGGCCAAGTTGACCCTCCAGTGGTTACAGCAAAAAAAGATGAAGGTTCTGGAGTGGCCATCAAAGTCTCCTGATCTTAATATCATCAAGCCACTCTTGGGAGATATCAGATGTGCGGTTCATGCAAGACAACCAAAGACTTTGCATGACCTGGAGACATTTTGCCAATACGAATGGGAAATTCTACCACCTGCAAGAATTCTGGGCCTCATAGACAACTGTTACAAAAGACTGCAGACTGTCACTGATGCTAAAGGGGCAGTACACAGTATTAGGAACTACAGGTATGCAGACTTTTGAATAGGGGTCATTTCATTTGTTTACTTGTTGCCATGTTTTGTTTTATGATTGTGCCATTCTGTTATGACCTACAGTTGAATATGAATAAATTATAAATTATTATAAATAAAAGAAATGTGTTTTTGCCCGCTCACTCATGTTTTCTTTAAAAATGGTACATACTCTACCAGTTTTCCAAGGGTTTTTCAAACTTTTGAGCACAACTGTATATCCAATTAGGCAGGCTCTCTTATTACATAGTTGTTGATAAATCTAAAAGACAATCAGATTGAACCATGTATGGCCAGCTTTTAGACCTCAGCATTAGCCAATGACTAACTGGTAAAGCTGGTCATAGAGAATTAACAAACAGTTCCCTCCATCCACACAAGCAAGGTGTATCAAGGTATACCCCTGCCATGACATTGTATACTGACAGGGGGACATTCCCTGCAGCTGCTGATCCTCAAAAGTTTTCCAACATTCCCGTTTGACAGAAGTCAATCTAGCAATCAACGTCTGTGAAACAGGGATGCCCATGCATGGATCAAAGTCTGCCAGTCCCAGCTGAATGCTCCAAATTTCGATCCATGTATGGTTAGCTAATACAAAGCATGCATCTCCACTCATAAAAAAATCAAACTGGTCCAAAGGGTCTCATTAAACGTTGATTTATCCTGTTGTAGGGCTTCTCTCTAGATGTTCTGGCTGAGCCCTGTTTATTTAGCATGGGCTCCCTCTCCGAGACTCTGCAGTTTACACTCTGGTGACAAGGTTGCTGTGGCAACTTCATTACTCACGGAGACGCCCTGCACATTCTTGTCGTGTCACAAGCTGCAGGTAGATTTCATAATCATAACACTGACAGGGAAATGTCAACCAGATCCTTGTGATAAGGAGACCATCTGAAGATACGGATCTTCTCATTCCTAGAGACTGGTTCAGTGATTTGTGGACGGCATATCCGTTTTCATGTACAATTTAATGGTGCATCCTCTGATTGTGCAGAGTACAGAGATACTACCAAATGCCCAGCTTAAAGTAAATTGACCTTTTAGGAAATAAAAAACGACTTTTTTTTTTCAACTGGTAATTCTGTCCAGAAAACACAGCCACTGGCCAAAGTCCATGCAGTCCACCTTAACCCTTTTATTACCAGAGTTGAATGGTGCCCAGGCCAAATTTAGCAGTGGCAGAATGTGCTGGCTAACTTAACAATAACTCTATGGCTAATTTCACCTCCTAAATGATTGTTACATAATTATTTGAGGGGAGTACTTATAAGAACTGTACATTCGCACAAAGGGCCGTGTTTACCTGCTGTTTGCATTCGGGGTCTTGCACCCACACCTGCAAGGCTGTCAAACTGGAACCATTGGCTGTGTCCGTGCAACCACTGCATCCCAACAGACAGGAATGAGACTGCCTGCACACAGATGTAACACATATCGCACAGATGTGCGCTAAAGTACACCCCTATGAACAAGGCCTAAGGCCTGGTCACACTATATTTCTTTGGTAATATGCAGCAACGCACTTTAGTTAAACTTTTCATAAACCCTGATGAGGTGGGGAGGGTGACTAAAACATGTGCACAGTAACCAATCAGCTTCTACCTTCAGATTGTTCAATTAAGCTTTGGCAATAAAACCTAGAAGCTGATTGGTCATTATGCACAGCTCACCAGATTTTGTGTTCTCCAGTTTAAGTAAATCCCCCCAATGTGTATGTGAACTAATACCATACCCCTCCTCCTTCCACCTTCCCGATCCCAGCTATATTTACTTTTGTTGGTGCTGAGCTGTCAGTGCCTATGCCTGTCTAGTGGTCTTGGGATTTGAAATCCCCGGTCTTCTCCCTCTTCTCTGTGCAGTGCTTCTGGGATGATTTAAAAGCTATGCTCTGTGCAGGCGCTGAACAATCAAAATCATTCTGATCCATCCCAAAAAAGCTGCACAGAGAAAAGGGAGTAGAGTGGGGACTACACGGGCTGTGTGGGCACTGACAGCTCAGCATCCACAGAGGTAAAGGAGCTGCACGGTGACAAATGACTAAAAATGTAAAGAGCTTCAAACGACCCTTAATAGTTTGTAAAAATGTACAACTCCTATCACAAACATTTTTAAAATAACACAATGAATCATGCACTAAAAACTAAAATATAAGCCCAGCTTTCGCTGCAAATATTCAGTTTCAGTCCATAGGTTTCCCCCACAGTGTTTCTCCATTCAGATGGCCAACATTGTTTAACCCACTTTCCTTAAACCCAGATTGTCCTGAACGCACCTAAGACTATGAGTGCACAGTGAGAGGAGAAATAGCACAGTGATTAGCTCATCTTTCTGTCACTTCTCTGCCCTCCTATCAACATGCTTCTCTCTGTCACTCTGCTCTGTCCTCCTATCAACATGCTTATCTCTGTCACTATGCTCTGTCCTCCTATCAACATGCTTCTTGTCAGCACAGGAACTGCTTTGCTCCTTGTATGGATTTTCTTCACACTGCAGCCCTGCTGTACTGCAAGAGGCTGACACCAGCTGAAATTAAGGTGCTTACACTGCTTGCATTTAAAAAATGCATTTTGCATTGGTAACAAAGCTGTGTTCGATATTTATGTCCTAGAGTTCAGCTAAATATTTTTTTTGTTGAAAGGTCTTTAACTGCTTCTGTCAAAGTACCACTCTCTGTGCCAGGCACAATGACAGCTGAGCAAGCTGGGACTGGCTTGTTTGTAAACAAAGCCATGTGATCAAAATGTTTGGCTGTGACTGATCACACCATCATGATGCATGCTGATAAGTTGCTGGTCATTGTAACTGACACAGCAACTGTCGGATATCACGCTGTCACCAAACTAGCAATGGTCCAAGATTTCTATTAGAAACCATTTTCATAAACTGTCTGCTTTTTTATACTGCAGGAAAAAAGCCAGTGTGAGAACGGGTCTAAAGAGGAAGGGGTTACTTGACGATGTTGTGATGTCCTATTTTCACGTCACAAGTTCCAGGGATTGCCACTCCAGAAGAACACTCCTGATTTTATTTTTAGCTATTAGAAACTCACCCCTTTCAGAACATCTTCCCGATAGTCGCTGTACTTCATAAACAATGTAACTTTCCAGCTTGTGTTACAATTAACAGCGTTCACCTGAAATAAACACGCAATGATTTTAATACGTATACAAAGCACACCTAACTGTCATGATTCCATACAGAATTGGACTACATTACCTCCTTACAGCCAGGGTTATCCAGAAGTTCTATATTACTGGCGTGAAGAGGCTGGCCAGCGTTCACCGGCATCAGAACTACCTTATCGCCTACGACCACCTACACAGCACACAAGGAGAGAATCAGAGGAGAACCTAAAATGGAACTAAACTTATGTAGTAAAAAACTACAAGCAGGCAACTCTTTATTGCTGAAGAGACATACTATGGGGTTGATTTACTAAAACTGGGGTGTGCAAAATCTGGTGCAGCGCTGTGCATGGTAGCCAATCATCTTCTAACTTCAGCTTGCTCAGTTAAGCTTTGACAAAAAAAAAATTGGAAACAGATTGGTTTCTCTGCAGAGCTGCAGCAGATTTTGCACTCTCCGGTTTCACTAAATCATCCCCTCTGTCTCTTCTGCAATAACAAACACCTACCTGCCTGCTCGCAGTCTTCTATTGAATGTACACCTAGGTGCGCATGCACAGTTCAGTGTGAATTCCCAGGACACTCCAGCTGTGCCAGGATAAATGGCCCCCATGCGCGTTATGGTGTCATTTCCCCACCAGCCAATCAAGAGGCCAAAAACCTGACACCTGGAAAGGGCCTGGAAGAAGACAACAGCGGCTGGTCACGGATGTAACTGCATTGCTGAAAGGTGGAGGTGAGTATTTCTGGGGATTTAGTTTTGCTTCAAAGAACATAGGAAGTCAGGCTGGCCATACACTGTTAGTTTTCTTTCATTCAAGAAAATATTACTCCAGCCACCCAAACAAGGTAGATGGAGGAATCCCACCAGCCAGGACATCCCAGTGACACCCGATGATCAGCAATCATTTTTGACACATGCCTTCTAAAGAAGTTGATTGAGGCCTAGTTCACACTAGTGCAGGCTGTGCAGCACGCATTTGCTCAGGCACGGAAACCTATTCATTTGAATGGGCTGCTATGCCATATGTCCAGCACAAAAAAGGTGCATGCACCTTTTCAAAAACGTATCTGCAGGGAAACCACATGATCTTTTTGACCATGCGGTTTCCCTGTGGATCCTGAACCTGCAATCGTGCTGTGGGCTGAGATGCCTGGGGGTGCCATTCAGAATGAATCGCAACCCTGCGTGTCTCGCAAGAGCAGCGTGGATCAGCTGTGGGTGGTTGTGGGTATGTGAACAGGTGCGATTCCTGCACCCGCATCTAGCATGCAGCCTGAGGGCTAGTGTGAACCCAGGGTAAATCATTGATTTCTGTTGAGTGGAGGAGCCCCACACCAATCAACATTCAGCTTGTCTAGCAGGTAATTTCAAGTCAATGTATACCCAGCTTTAATAACTTCAAAACATTTGTATACAGACTTTTAGCCACCTGACCACCAGAGGGTTTTACCCCCTTCATGACAGACCATTTTTTGCTATTTAGCACTGCTCTACTTTAACTGGTAATTGTGTGGTTTTGCAACACTGTACCCGCATGAAATTTACACAATTTTTTCACACAAATAGAGCTTTTTTTGGTGGCATTTGATCAACACTGGGTTCTTAACCACCTTCCGCCCGCCCTATAGTACAATGACGGGCGCAAGGTGGTTCTCTCGTTCTGATAGGACGTCATATGACGTTCTATCATTCTCACTGCGCATGCACGGCTCAGGGAGCGCGCAGCGTGGTGATCGTCGGTGCGCTGTGTCCCTCGGACACAGCAGATCACGGAAAGAGCCGAAGATGTCAGTCCGGTCATGTGATCAGCTGTGTCCAATCACAGCTGATCACATGTAAACACGGAAATGCCGGTTATCGGCATTTCTCTCTCCTCTCGAGCGGTCACGCTAACAGCTTGAGAGGAGAGAAGAGCTGGTAATCGGCTTTCCGCGGAGGGGACTGATGATCAGTGTGCCCTGATGATCAGTGTGGCCCCAGAAGTGCCACTTGTCAGTGCTCATCAGTGCCACATGCCAGTGCCCATCAGTGCCACGTGCCAGTGCCCATCAGTGCCACATCAATGCCACATATCAGTGCATACCAGTGCACATCAATGCCACATATCAGTGCCCATCTGAGCTGCCTTTCAATGTCACCCATCAGTGCCAGTCAGTGCCACCTATCCATGCCAATCAGTGCCACCTATCAGTGCTGCCAATCAGTGCACCTATCAGTGCCAGTCAGTGTCGCTTATCATTGCGCATCAGTGCCAGTCAGTGCCGCCTATCAGTGCCAGTCAGTGCTGCCTATCAGTGCCAGTCAGTGCTGCCTATCAGTGCCAGTCAGTGCTGCCTATCAGTGCCACCTATAAGTGCCATATATCAGTGTCATATATCAGTGCTGCCTTTCAGTGCCCATCAGTGATGCCTGTCAATGCCCATCAGTGCAACCTACCAGTGCCTCCTCATCAGTGCCCATCAGTGCCACCTATCAGTGCCCATCACTGCAGCCTCATTAGCGCACATCAGTGAAGGAGAAAAATCACTTATTTACAAAACTGTATAACAAAAACTAAGAAAAAATGTTTTTTTTTTTTTTTCCAACATTTTGAATGGTTTTTGGTTTGTTTACGAAAAAATAAAAAATCCCAGAGGTGATTAAATACCACCAAAAGAAAGCTCTATCTGTCTCAAAAACATGATAAAAATTTCATATGGGTACAGTGTTGCATGACCGCGCAATTGTCATTTAAAGTGTGACAGAGCTGAAAGCTGGAAATTGGCCTGGGCAGAAAGGGGGTACAAGTGCCCTGTAGGCTAGTGGTTAATTTTTTATTATATAAACAAAAAAAGACTATTTTGAAAAAAAAACAATATTCTTTCTTTCCACTTTCTATCTAGATACACAGAGCCAGCAGGTGCACAGAGGGACGGCCACATCACACATAAAACAGCAGACTTCGTTATTGAGGAGCCTGTTATCCTTTTTAACAATGTGACTTGCAAATCTTGTGTTTTTAATAAACAGTCCTTATGCTACACTTAGTAGGGGCTTCCCTCTCTCCTCTGTTTATTTTATTGTGTCCCAGTTGGAAAATGTCTCCAACAGAGATACAGACAAAAAAAAAACATATTTTTTATTATATTGAGGTGTAATTTGAAATTCTGACAATGTTTGTATTTTCCATCTGTGGCTTCCTGTCTGTATGACAACCCCTCTCCTCGTTTCTTATCCTTGTGTCACAGTAAAAGGAAGTAAGGGCCCTCTCAGACAGGCCTGGATAGATGAGAACTTTCATAGATATTAACAGACAAGTCTGTAAAATGTGCAATGTTTGTTTTTTTGTGAACAGTAAATTGGATCTTCAAACACCCACATTGTCTCCCTCACTCCTCAACTTCCAGAATGGCTGAATGTAGAACCAGGAGCCTTCGTTCCCTGCCGCGTCGAGGGACACCCGCATTGCATTCTTCTCCAACAGCGCCGGCAGTCGCTTGTTAACTGTGAGGTATTTGTTTACTCTTAATGTGCAGCAGCTGTAAACACAGGAGTCACAAAATGGAGTCAGACATTGGACTGGATGCAACACCCCAATTTCAGAAGCACAGAATATTTCAGGAGGGGGGCGTGCTGACCATGGCATATCCACTAGTGTTAATATAGAGGATGTGTGGTAAAGAAGAGGAGGATGGAGGTAAGAGGACAGCCCTAGGGTTTATTTACTAAAACTGCATCAGGACCAAGGCAATAAGCAGTACCCACAGCATCCACTCACAATCCATGTTGTACTGGTCTATCTTCTGAATTAAGATTGACTACTGCAGGAGCTGCATTTTGCTTTTTGAGCGCTTTGTGAAATAAACCCGACAAGACTGAGAGAAAGAAGACTGGACCCCCAGAAGGGTAAAGTGTGAATCGACTACATTGTAATATTTCGGTAGGACCCACCTGTATGACATTGCTGTACTTTACAATCTCTCCTAGAAGCTTTTTGTTCTCTGACTCGTTCTGTTTCTGTTCAAGTTCTGCAGCATGCTAGAAATACAGAGTACATGTAATCAATAATTACACAGGATAATGGTATTATCATTTAATTAGTCATTGGGAGGAAAAATGGAGAGAGAAAAAGGTGGAGGGAAAGAGGAGAACAAAAAAGGAAGAGAGAGAAAGCCACCAAGACAAATAATTATTCTTAAAGTGATTGTAAATGCACAACTTTATAAATTAAATTAACAAACATGTTATACATACCTGCTCTGTGCAATGGTTTTGCACAGAGCAGCCCTGATCCTCCTCTTCTCCAGTTTCCCCGCCAGCGCACCTGGCTCCCCCCCTCACCGAGTGTCCCCATAGTCTGCTTCTAGCTATGGGGGCACATGTGCAGGCTCAGTCCTGAGCCCCACTCTGTGTGTCCATTGACACAAAGATCATGGTTTCGGCCCACCCCCTCCTCACTGGCTGTGACTGACAGCAGCAGGACCCAATGGCTCCTGCTGCTGTCTCATAGCCAATGAGGAGGGAGAGAGCCAAGAGGGATGCTGCTCACGTGCACATTGCTGGATCAAGATTAGGCTTAGGTAAGTATAAGGGAGTGCTGGGGGGGAGCTGCATGCAGAAAGTTTTTTACCTTAATCCATAGAATGCATTCAGGTAAAAAGAAAACCTTTAAAACCACTTTAAAACATAATAAAAGCTTCAAAACGTTAAAGTAAAACTAAAAGTAAGGTAGGGGTTTAGGCCCTGTCAGGTGTTTTTGCCATCTGTGTCTCACTGAGAAGATTTAACTTAATTTTCTGTCTCATAGCCAAAACAGGAAGTGTGAGGAAAAAAATTAGGGACTCTCTCTTTCATTCATCAGAGTCACCAGAACTAGTGCCCCATTGCAAGATTTTCCCTTTATCGCTTTTCTGTGGATAACCAAATCGATCAGCAGGACCAATAGATTGGGTTTATTTCTCTAAAGCTGGCCATACATGGATCAAAGTTAGACAAAGACCCACCAAATCTCGATCCATTCATGGGCAGAGCCAGCTTCCCACTGGGCATGTGCAATGTGAACGGACCCACAGTGTTCTGGGACCTGTGAAATGTCCCAGGGGCTTGCAGGCAGGGAGGGGAGGCAAACATCTGTTCAGATTTCCTAGGCAGTGGAAGTGAAAGAGGGACCGAGTACTTCTTAAAACTAGGTACCTGTTACCAGAAATAAAAAGCTGCCAAAAGTGGTATGGGGTGGGGGATGTAGATGAAGTTCTGCTTTAATAACTGGACTGGCATTTCTGACCTTTTTACAACAATGCTAGTTTTCTGGCTGGCTCTGACTTCAGTAATGTCTGAGTCACTGGGACAAGCATTGAGGTTAGAAACTCACAGTCAGACCTCAGATGCCCCCCGACTGGCTGGGAGATCTGCAGGTGGCTCCCGCGCTGCCACAATGAAGAAGGGAGGGGGCAGCAAGATGGCGGCTGGCACAAGCTCCCAGAGCTCTTCAGCTACAGAGACAGCACAGCCTCCACCACAGCAGGTCCAGCTCTTCTCTAGTCCTGGGATGCACAGTGATGACTCCCCTGGCTCCCAGGCTCACGCGAGTGTTCACTCCACTCCCTCTGGGTCTCTCTCTCTAGCCCTGCCAGGTTTCCCCCTCAGGCTGCAGCCCTGTCACCAGGCCCCGATTCCCAGGCCTCCTCCCAACTAGACAGGGAAATGGCTGACATATTTACTAGCCAGCTTAGCGGCCAGGACTCAGCTCCTGAAGGCCCAATGGACTCTCTTGCTTATCCATCTGTGCCCTCACACTACTCAGTGGACTCCATTCTTATTGCTCGTTTTGCTGATTTACTTCAGAGGGAATTGGAAAAAGCTACCACTAAATTAGCATCTGACTTAAAACAGGATTTTAGGGAGAATGGAAACCACCTGGAGAACATTGAAAATAAAGTTGATGATACAGTTCACAGAGTGTCGCAGAATTCTAACAGGACTGCTGACCTACAAGATCGCCTTGATGAAGCTTATACGAAAATAGACGATCTTGAGAACCGCACCCACCGGTACAATTTCTGAATTAGAGGCCTACTGGAAACGGTCAAAGATATTGCTTCAGTCGCCCACTCCCTTATACTAATGAAAAGAGGGAATGCTGTTGCACTTAGGGAAAAAAACCAACAAAACCAAAAAATATATATATATATTAACACAAAATAAAAATGCCACTCATAAAAAAGTGCCCACTTCCATTCATATACAACAAGGCTGAATACACCTAGTGCAAGGCAAAGGCACTTTTTTTGTGAGTGGCATTTTTATTGTTTGACCCCACTATTAAAACTTATAACGGTTTTACACTATGGGATGTCTGGTTTTGTTTTATTTTATGCTGAGAATTTGAATTACTGCCTGTGGAGGAGAGGAGCTTTCTAACATTGATGCAGCCCCAGTGGAGGATCACCAGTTACCATTAGCAACAACGGTTAAGGGTGTGAAGGAACATCAGTCAATAATACCACGTTGCATACGGAGATAGTCCCAAAAGCGCATTTAACCAACCTAGAGATAGGTGGTCATGGGATGACGGTGAGTGTAAATCCATGTGGGGCACCAGTGTGAGCACAGTGAAGCACTTGTCACCTCAGTATGGAGGTTCACCATTAAGGATAAACATATAGAAGGGAACCAGCTCACAACAGAAAAGACAAAGCATTTGGGTGACAATCAATCAATCAATTCCCCACAGCAGCTGCCGCGGTGGCGGTAGATAGATACATCATCAAGCCAGCATGACCAAATTTTATAAAATTTGTTTGGGCATCCTCTGTTAAAATAGGTAGCCTGATAAAGGGAAAAGTTAGAGTTCACCAGACCTTTCCAGTAGGTCACAGTGGGGGGAGATCGTTTTTTTCCAGTGTAGAGTAATCGTTTTGCGAGCATAAAACAACAGGACTATTAAGTAAGGTGCGCTGAGCTACAGCAGGAGCCAGCGATTCTATCAGTCCAATAAACAGAATTTTACGTCCAGGGGAACACTAATATGTACTACATCTTCAATTGTACATAATACCTCCTGTTAAAAAGACATTATAACAGGATAGGTACAAAAAATATTAAAAAAATCCCCGTCTGCATGAAAACAATGCCAGCCATACCAGAGAAAATGTGGGGTTCTTTCTAAGTAACCAATACAGGGTAAAGTAAGCCCGGTGTAAAATTTTAAATTGAATTCATTTATCTCTGGCAGAAACTAGGGGAGGAAAAGGGATAATCCCAAACCTCGGACCAATTTTCATCATCTAAATTAGGAATATTCGTCCTCCACTTCAAACGTAAAGATACCAAGTCAGGGCTGGCCGCCACAAGAAGATATCTACACCCTGTTCCAAATTATTATGCAAATGATATTTTTCTCATTTACCTAAATAATTGATGTAAATAACAGTCAGCATAATTCTCATGTTATCAACTATTAAGAGTACAATTCACATTTTATTGAACAAACCTCCTAATGATAACAGCATTTTTTTTTTAACATAAATAACTTCCAATGCACTGTTTCAAATTATTACGCACAGGAAGTTTCAAAACACTTTACAGGTTGTAAAGAACTGAAAATTGTCATTTGTTGTGTTTGCAGCATATTTACTGAAATCAAAAGCTATTTCAATCAAACTTTTAACAACATTTTAACTTTTTAAACGTTTTAACAGGTCACGTTTTAACATAGAACCCCTTATTTGATAGCAGCTTCACAAGTCTTGCATCCATTGAACTTGTGAGTTTTTGGACAGTTTCTGCTTGAATTTGCTTGCAAGATGTCAGAATAGCCTCCCAGAGATGCTGTTGGGATGTAAACTGCCTCCCACCCTCATAGATCTTTTGCTTGAGGATGCTCCAAAGGTTTTCAATAGGATTGAGGTCGGGGACGGATGGAGGCCACACCATGACTTTCTCTCCTTTTATCCCCATAGCAGCCATTGATGCAGAGGTATTCTTTGCAGCATGAGATGGTGCATTGTCATGCATGAAGATGATTTTATTACGGAAAGCATAGTTCTTCCTTCTGTACCAGGGAAGAAAGTGGTCAGTTATAAACTCCACATACTTTGCAGAGGTCATCTTTACACCTTCGGGGACCCTAAAGGGGCCGGCCAGCTCTGTTCCCATGATTCCGGCCCAAAACATGACTCCACCGCCTTGCTGACATCGCAGCCTTGTTGGAACAGGGTGGCCGTCCACCAACCATCCGCTACTCCATCCATCTGGACCATCCAGGGTTGCAGGGCACTCATCAGTGAATAGGACTGTTTGAAAATTAGTCTTCATGTATTTTTCTGCCCAATGCAGCCATTTCTGCTTGTGAGCATTGGTTAGTGGTGGCCAAATAGAAGGTTTATGCACAGTTGCAAACTCTGGAGGACTCTACACCTTGATGTCCTTGGGACTCCAGAGGCACCAGCAGCTTCAAATATCTGTTTGCTGCTATGTAATGGTATTTTAGCAGCTGCTCTCTTGATCCGATGCATGGATCTGGCAGAAATCTTCCTCAATGTGCCTTTATCTGCACGAACCCGTCTGTGCTCTGAATCAGCCACAAATCTCTTAATAGTGCGATGATCACGCTTAAGTTTTCGTGAAATATCTAATGTTTTCATACCTCGTCCAAGGCATTGAACTATTTCACTCTTTTCGGCAGCAGAGAGATCCTTTTTCTTCCCCATATTGCTTGAAAATGGTGCTCTGCTTAGTAGTTTTTTCCTTAAATTGGGCTCACCTGCCAATCTAATTATCACAGGTGTCCGAGATTGTTTTCAGTGATCAAAAGAGCCCTGACACACAATGCCATCAATGAGTTAAACTGAAAAACAAAATATTTAATCTTTGTGACACTTAAATAGAATTTGCATAATACTTTGGAACAGGGTGTATATAGTACTGAAAGGGTTTTTTTCATGCATGTTACACGAAGGACAGACTCCAACTCAGAATAGGAAAGGGAAAGCGGTCAAACAGGGAACTGACCTCTAAAGGCATGGGAGACCTGAAGG